AGTGTGTTTTACTCTTTTTGATTTATACCTTTTATTATTAGTATTGTATTTAACCCGTATGACGATGAGTGGCTGACGGTATCTTTGATTTATGAACGTGTTATGCCGAGAGGCATATTTCAGTTTGGGTGAAGGGATGTGTCATGAATTTATTTTTGCGTATCTGTTAACCGACTTAATTAACTGATTATTAGCGAATTGCTGTGTTATTCTGTCATCGTGTAGGCCTATTTGAAGTTTTGGACGGAACTTGGCTCAGTGATTTGGAACTAATTACAAGATACCGTCGCTATTCTGACATCAGTAGTTATTAATGTAGTGAACGATTAATCAAAAGATATGACGTATTTAGTACTTAGTGTGATTGGCTTTATGATTGAAGTTTACGCCTTAGAGTCTTTTTACTGATTTGTAATTGGTTAGAGTTTTGAAAATGAATAAAGAGAGTTTGAGTTGGTCTTGGCGAATACTCCACGACAGACGCAGCCTTGGGCAGTCGAGTCCAGTCTGAGAGAGAGTCCAGTCCAGGGGCGAGCCTTGAGGCAGTCCAGTCTTGGGCGAGTCTTGGTTCAGCCTTGTGAGAGTCTTGGGGACTTTTCCCCAGGGCGCTGTGTCTTATAGAGTGCTCCAAAAGATCGACTAAGACGAGAGCTGAAACGTATTTCATTGTGTGTGTCTTATTTGACTGTAAAGTTAAAGTGACTTTCCCGATACCGTACCTCAAGGGGACGAGATATAGAGACGAGACGAGTTTCCCCCCTGACAGTGTGGAGAACCCGAGAGAGAGTTTTTCCCCCTGATACAGACATCGCTTGGAGACAAAGTGCCCGTGTGGTTAAGGCGATCGACTGCTAATCCATTGTGCTCTGCATGCGTGGGTTCGAATTCTCGTCGACAGAATGTTGGCATTTTTGAAAAGCATAATTATAGTGCATTCAATGTTTTATTAGAATTACAACTTATATTAGAAATCAAGGCTATTAGGTTATAAAATCTGGAAGCCATTTCATAACGAATGATGTTCTCAACCTTTCGTTTTCATCTACTAAAATGTTGTCTGAAGCAGTTATGTGCGTGTCTCTGATTTTTGCTTTGAAATCATCTCAAACAAACAGGAAATGCCATTTCAGAAAGTTTCCAAGCAAAATTCTGGCTACGGCCATAATATCATCCTCGTCGACGAGATGTTCGCTATTTAGAGTACCATAATAGTGCATTCAAATATTTGTTGGAATTACAACTTTCTATGAATGGAATCGCCAACATGTTCATCGTTAGATTTTGATTGTTGAGCAGTTAACACTTGTCTTGACCATATGTGCAGCAGATGGCGGATTTGACGACAATAAAAATGAATATAATGTAGAAAACGATAGTGACCATGGTATCACAGCCGACAATGAATTTGAAGTTGATGGGTTTTAAAAAAATATGTAAATGAAAGTGCTGAACCACAGATAAATCTAGGCAAAAATATTTCTCGTGATTTGACTGAAATGGCCATAACAGTTCCGCAACCATTTTTCTAAATGAAATATTTGCAAAATCTTTTCGTTATTTCAAAATGTTTAGTTTATGGCCGTGATTCGCGCGACAGATTAACCACTGACAAATGCAACCTCACGCTGTATACAAGAATACTATACGATTTGAAACAAATTTGAAAAACTGGTCACATGCCGATACTAGACATGAATTATTGTAGCCACATTAAAATGTCCTGAGTATTACGACAACGACTTCTTTGACGAATTGTCTGCAATTAAAGAACGTTATTGTCTCTGTGTTCACATTTTTACGTACCATCATATTGGATTATAACTTTTGACTGATTTCAACTTGAACAAATATTAAACCTGTACATGAACATATCGCTTAGTATCCATTGGCCAGCCTGAGCGATGATACATAAAAAGCTAGCGAGAGAAAAAGAGAGAGGTAGCGTAATTGCGCTTAGAGCGTCTCTGCTAAAAACTGAACATGTAAGGCTGAAAAAAGTTTCTTGTCGGCGTACGCACCATTTGATAATCATTATCGAGACGAAAATCATTTCCGTCGTCGCAATTCTCAAATATAAGTTTACATAAAATGCAACAAAAACGTTTTTCGTAATTCACTCACAAATTTATTGGTCAACTAAGATCGTGATAAAGTAGCTAAATCCGTCTTAGAAAATTACAATTACAATTTCTGTGAGACTGAATGATAACTTTAACAGGATTGCGTATCCCGCCTCTAATTTATTCAAGACCACGTGTACGTGTTACAACTTCAGTCATTATGCAAATCAAATTTATCGTCTTTTGTCAACTATTTAGCCTGTAGAGTGAACGGTGGAAAGTACGCTCAAAACTGCACTGTAAATTTTGGAATAATTTTTTTTAAACGTGCCTTTCTCGTTCATTCACTCAGCGCATGCCGTTTTGCTTGTCGATTTATAATTTTAATGGACAATGAAATGATTAAAATACTGTTTTTTATACCACACAGCTGTTACATGCTCACAGTTTAAACTATGTGCGAAAACTCGTTCACTAAAACGATGTTGACTTTGCAGCATTGCATATTTCAATTCAACGCCGAATACCCGTTTATCAGTCAACACATTGTAAGGCATTAGTTAGCATGAGAGGTCTTCAAGCTAACCAAATATGCGAAGGGTCAGGCCAAAATGTGCGTTTCAGAATTCTGTATTCGCTGTTTGCGGCCGGAAGACACTGAAGAGGTCAAAGATCGCAAATATATGCTAATTTGGTTAAACTTACGTAATTTGTACAAATTCAAATGCACCAGATTTGTTTATTCGCATCGGCGTCGGTTTAGCAAGTAGCAGGACTGGGTGATAGTTTATCAGAGAGCTATATACCTCATCGGGCGTTGAAGTTGTTGACATCGATTCACACCGATCCAAGTTTGCACTTTCCTTCTGATAACGCACTGTACCGGTAAGTTGAGTTATCGAGTGCCCCGGCACACTGGCAATTACAAACACGAAAAGACAATGCCTTTTCTGAATACCCCCCCCCCTCTCACGCGAAGACAAAATCATGTGTCTCTGTCTGAATATTTGTACTGATATTTCTTAGTGATCAAATTGGTTTTTTTTCGTCACAGTTTAATGTATTGCTGTATTCATAGTTCCAGCCTTGCTCAATAATGAAAATAAGATACAACAGTTCCCCGAAATAGTTCTATCTAAAGTTTAGTTTTCCTCGCAGTTGATGCACAATTTGACCGGCCTCGGCACACAAACAAGATTATCAAGAGCCGTATACTAGTAATATCTTAATATCTTTATGATTATTTTATCCTAATTTTACTTTTATTACTTAAATATTATTGTATTGTGTTTCGAGAGACATTATACATATTTTTTTTTATAAAGAAATAATAAAGGTTGAGTTCAATTCTATCATGATGAAAACAACCTGAAACATTTATTTACAAATCAACGTATTATATTGATTATTTTTATTTTTATTTATGAAAATTATATACAGATACTTGCGTTTCTCGTGCAATCAGACATGTATGTTATATGATTTACATATCATGCAGCAAATAAATAAATAAATAAATAAATAACATAGTACTCAAACAATCTTTTTATTTGTAAACATGTATTTCCTACTTCTTTGCTAAACAATTTCAACTAAGAGAATTGTTTGTAAATATCAAAGCGTAGACACAAAATTTTATAAATAATTACGAATTAGCGACTATAACAATTACATGTAAACCATGTAAATTGGCGGCGTTTTCATACTTTATATTAATTTTATATATGTCGTCAATATCGTTTTCAATTCAATATAAAGACTACATGCTAGCTTGTACAGTCTTTTTAGAGAACCATAATTCGATACTAAATATTGAAATTGATAATTGTTGTATACCCTGCACAACTAAATTCATAATATAATATAAAAAAACGTCACACAAACAGCACGCAACTTCCAAATCTATCATATGACAATTGGTGTTCTGTTAGCAATCAACATACTTGACCTGCTCTGTGACCGAACGCTTTAATCATTCATTTGAGTGAAAGTTGACTGTTTATGTGACGTCAGCGTGGAACGATCTGTGTACAGTGCTAATTGTTTGTTATGGATATCGCTGAAAATACGTTAATATTTTATTAATCCCGCGCTAGGTAGGTATTTCGAAATATATGTTGTTGTCGACATTCAAATAAATACGCATTACGGTCGGGGTTCTACTTAAGGAATATTTTTCATAGTAATGTCTAAATGTTAAAACGCTGTCGTGTCTTGTCGATATTGTGTTGTCATACAAATATCAATCCCCACTGTGAATGTGTGAATAAATGACAAAACAGGATTGATAAAGTGATTTTTTTGTAATGATATGTATAAGGCATATTATGACATATCTATGAACTACAATACAGATCACGCGCCTGGGCGCTTTTTAAAAATTAAAAACAATAAAATGATCTCTCCAGCACTAATTCATCAATATAGACTTTTTGGTTTAAATAGTTTGTTTTAGTTAAAAAAAATTTTTTTTCAAATGAGTCTTGTTATCGTTAATTTTTGCTTGAACAAATTACACGGATGATCTATGCGTGAATATAAAAAATATCCTGACACGAATATACTTAGACCATAAATAAAGTGTTTAGCACAAATGTAATATAACGTTAGGGATGGTTCAATTGAGCCTTGGGGGGATATGTTACTACATTGTCAACGTAACTTCCAACAATCCCTGGCTAAAAATATAAATAATTAGATAAATGTAAATTTTATGATTTTAGAGATGAAAATTTATTAAATACTTCATTGTACTTATTGCCAGTCAAGTGCATTAGCGCTGAATAAAATTGCGTTTTTTGGGTGGAAGGGGTAATTTATGTTTTATGATCAAAACAGATTAAAATAATTCGTTTTTGTACCCTTAACACTTTTACTTCTAAATTGGTCTAAAATGTAGCTATTGGTTGTTCGTTTACTTTCAGAACACGGGGAGCAGAAATGCCTAGAAGAACACGAGGAAAGTCATTGAAGAGATTGAGGTCTTGTGAAAATGGTGCAGATCAATCGGAAAGTACAACTCCTGCAAGAAAATATGCTGCTGTAAATGATGAAAGAACAAAGGTAGTTTTTTCCAATATTAGATAAATATAAGATCAACAGATACATTATCATCATGTGCGTCTTCTCACAGGAGCCGCTAACGCTTATTTTTCCGCTTTCAGCCAAAATATCGTGAAACATAAAAAAAAAACGCCAAAACAAAACAACTTGAATAAATAAATACATGCCCTTTCCTCTAAAACTATAACCAATCAACGCGCCACGTATAATTTCGGATCGCATAGCCATTATTCTGCAGCCTATTGTTCGGTAGCGAGGCGGAAAAAACAGAAGGAGGGAGATGAGGTACCCCAATGTCTTCTGCAATAGGCTTAATACACTATTATCTAGTATGGGAAGGAATTTTCTTGTTCTGTTTATTTTCGTGAGCTGGGCATTAGTTCAAACTGTGAACCATTTATTTTTACTGAGATTTATTGTCATCATTTTAATGTTTTGAGCAAAATAATTGCTTTTATTGTATTTGGTGGAAAAACAATTTGGTTATATTTTTATTATACATGTTGATGTGGTTTTATTTCTGAATTTCGCTTAGCCACTGAAATAGTATATTGTGAAATATTTTAATATCGCGATAAGCAAATTTCCACGAACCAGTGGAAATCAGCAGATACAGGAAGTGCACAACCCTCAGTTCAGCCATAGGTTACTTTTTTATTTGGCCTATTCAGATACTAACTGAAATTACAGGTCTTCAGTTGGATCAAAAGTGTATCTTAAAATATTTGATGTGTTTACCTAGCTATACATACCAAGTTCAGTCTCCAATAACTGTATGGCCATGTGCCTGCTGATGATTTTATTTTATTTTAGATTTGCAGTGGTGCATCTACGAGAAAAACAATACCTGCAATAAGTGTTACTCCTCTCATTGGTAATAATAGTCACAATCTTGTTCATCATATCTATAATACATCATTCGGTAGAATGTCACAACATACAATGAGAAAGGTAAGATGATTGATTAGAATTTAAGTAATAGATTAATCAATTCATGTATTTATTTAATATAAATAACAAATGTCAACTTCTTGAGTTTAAACTAAGTGTCATTTATTGCAAATAGGTTTGTTTTATCAATACATCCCTTTTTGTTATTTCTTCAGAGTTTTTGTCAGCCATTCGTTCATATTCTCTCCAACGCTAAAGTATACAGAACAGCGAGTCCATTTGATAGGAGGGTCACTGCGCTTGAGTGGCATCCTACACATCCGACTGTCTTAGCCGCCGCTTCCAAATGTGGTGATATGATACTATGGGACTATGAAAGAACGGACAAACAGGAATTCATCTCAGGGGTAAAAATTAGCTATTTTCTGACACCCTTTGTTCTTTGTTATTAAATAAGTGTACACAAACATCTATGGAGTAATACAACAGTCATCAATTTCGTGTATTTTACAGACTGGCAAAGGCGACGCAATTACTGGTTTGAAGTTCAATGTCGACGATCCCAATACTGTCTATACATCCAGTGTGTTTGGTAAAATCAGCTTACAGGATTTCACTGGAAGACAATCTAAAATATTATTAGAATCAGACGACTGGATTCGGTGAGTGTTGTTTTTTTCTTTCAATGAATATTTTTCAGTGAATTTCTACCAGCTGGTATATTTGGTAATTCAAAAAAAGTTGCACGTAAAATTGATACAATATTAGGATATATTTTATTAGGTGCCATGTGAATTCTGTCAATGTTATCTGCAGAATTTTTACTGCCTCCATTCTGGTGTAACATTGCGATGTTGTGTTAGTCAATGTTGGAGCAAATAAACGTAATTTTCCATTAGGTTTGATAAGAAATGTCAATACAAGGGGCTCCATTTCATTAAGATGATCTTTATATGAAGGTTGAGTAATTTTTTCATGGATTACCGACACATACATAGCCTTTGATCGGAAAATAATGGGATGGTATCGATGGTAAAATTTAAACACAATTATCAAAAATATTTATCAAAATTATTTAAGGATGTTTTTTCATAAATCACAAAGGTGAATTTGCAAAATATTGTTGAAAGGATGGTAACTTTGACTGTATTTCAGATATAATCTAGAAATTTTAACATCACTAATCTGAAATATTTTCTGTTCTTAACAGTAATTGGTATTGTGCACTTGACGTGTCATTTACGACTGGTCTGGTAACCGTTGGTGACAGCGTGGGCAATGCTTTATTGCTTAGTCGCGAAGGTAAAGTGGTAAGTACTATAATTAAGTATTAAGAGTATCATCATGTCATATATGTACTAATAGCCACCTCAAAAAGTAATACTGAAAACAAGTGAAATTTTTTAATAATTTTTTTTTCAGAATAATTTACCTAATTTCGATGAAACATGTTATATATATATATGTGCATATCACCTAATTTGCATAATAATTAACAAATATTCGGCTTTCCGGAAGAGAATCCTTGCTAATTATTTAACCTAATTTGAATAATATTGATTATTATATTTCATTTAGATTTTATACATGCTCCAGGGTATTCCATTAATTTAGGATTGAAAACAGGCGAGATATGATTAACATATCACATGGCATTGCGTAGTCGTGTGTCCTTATCAATATGCATAACTGTAGTAACTCAACGCATCATTGCGGAAACGAACATGCAACCAGTGCTGTAATAAAGGCATCGGTCAAGAGATACGACTAAAATGACAAATAATCATATATGACCATGTTGCCTATTTACTATGCATAAATCACATCGAAACACTCGCAGATGTGATCAGATGAGCATATATGTTCATGTGGCATCATTAATATCTATACACCTAATATCAATAGAACTAGATAGGAATGTAAAACCAATTATGCCATAATTAAGACACCGGACGACATATGTGACTATTATAATACGCATAACTGCACTTCATGCACCGTTGTAGATGAATATATACAACCAGGACCATATTGAAGGTATCAGACAATGGAAATAACTGACTTTCTTCTGTACAATCAACTGTTTTCACGTTCATGCCAATATCAACACAGACCGACTTTTTAGAATTTTGTCTACACGAATAGAAAAATAGCTTCCATTAGTTCATGTTCTTACGCAAATTATTTTTTGCGGCATTCAAAAGATCGCCAAGGCGCTGGAATGTCGCCCATTTTTTGTAATAGATGTTTCAGATAAATGCGGCAATTGTACCTTATGCTTTGTCACACTAGAGTTCTTTCTAAACTGTCTTTGATTATTAGTTCATCTGGGAAAATGTTTGAATAACTAGAATTATATAGAAATTTGATATGTAATAGACTCTACGATAGTCTTTGAATTCATTGTTTTATACAAAATAACGGAAATGGCTATTTAATATTCGTGTTTTTTGGTTTTTCACAGCTTTGGAACCATAAACTTCATAAACAGAAAATCACGCACTGTGAATTCAATCCCCAATGTGATTGGCTGCTGGTGACATCATCAGTCGACAAAACAGTGAAATTATGGGATGTACGTATGATAAAGGGTAAAGACAGTGTTGTACATGTGTTGAACCATGAAAAACCAGTGAACTCAGGTGAGTTGTAGCATCCAGGGTAAAGAACCTTTGTCGCTGTGAGTAAAGTAAGAAACGTGATCATGTACGTAAAAATTATATAAATTGTGATTCTTGCTGTGTTTTTACTTCAAAATATTGCATGTCATGTGCAAACTTTGATTTTATAATATTTTTAACCTTAAATTATAAATATATTTGTCCATTTTTTCGACAGACTGATATATTTGACATTTTACTATCATGATGATATGCTCGTGTCCCGTCCACCATCTATGTGACACACCAATCTGACAAGTTCCATAGTATATTTGTTAATCTGTTGTAATAAGAGTACACTTTAAGTGCTGGTGATGTTAATTAGATCAAGATAAATATATCTGTTTTCCTAATTTAGCATATTTTAGTCCAGACAACAATAGGCTACTAACAACAGACCAGTACAGTGAGATACGTGTATACCATTCACCTGATTGGAGTAGAGTAATGAAAACAATCTTGCATCCACACAGGTTTTTTCAGCATATTACAGCTTTTAAGGTGAGTGTTGATGACAAGAATCTAACATAATATACACTCTCGCCAATTTGGGCTGTTGTTGCTGTTGATTAACTTAAATTCAGTTTAATCAATTGCAATTTAAGTTTACTTCAACTCAACTCAATTAAAATACAATCCTATTTATGAATGAAATTGAATTGCAGTATTATTTAAACTGTATGTAGTTGGAATAATTTTAATTACACCTATATGACATGCACATCTATCAAATCATTTGAATGAAAAACGGGTTCACTGTATTAGTTTTCTGTATAATGAATTATATAATAGTACATTAGATAACGATACAATGATGCCCTAGAACGCTATAGTGACAAGATAACAAGGTCACTCTTTTAAAATAATGTAGTGAATCTTCAAAACAGTGTAGTTATTTAAAAAGTGATTATTTTTGTTTTACATGACTAGGCATTATGGCAGTGTAGCGGATCATCAAAACAGTATATTGATTTATAAAGTGAATATTTTTGTTTAACATGACTAGGCAACATGGCATCCTATGTGTGACCTGATAGTTGTTGGAAGATATCCAGATGAGAAATTTCCTGGCTACATTCCCAATGAAACTCGTAGTATTGACGTCATCGATGTAAACACAGGAGATATTGTTTGTCAAATAAAAGACAGTAAAGCGCCAGGTTTAATATCGGTGAGTATCTAGCCAGAAAACGTGATATTATATCATATTTAAATTACATTAACAACAATGTACTCCAAGTCATCACATAAACTCTCATCAGTAGTGACAATATTTATGATATGACTCCCTAACTTAATACAGATTGCATTTAGTTTACTACACATGGTTATGTATAATAATGTATAATAATAGACTGTTTTCTCCAACTAGTGCAATTCGAGTAGTTTACGGTATCGACACCTTGTTATTCGATTAACTTGTCACGGGCACACACATTTCATTTTTTTTTCACTATGCAAGAACAATTTATAACTTTGTCCTGGTCGACATATAGTCTAAAAGTACTCTGTAAAATGTTGATTGACCAGCATGTCCTAATTGGTGAAGATTTTAAGACCACAGCGTTGCAATTATAACACCTAGGTGGAATGCTTCAAGCTCTTTGCTGGTATATGTCATAATAATTGTATTGTTTGAACCCTTGGAATAATCTATAGTAATTAGGATTTGAATGGCCATCATTTTAGCTGCACATGTGAATATAGGTAAAATGTATCGTGAGATACAAATTTACGTGTCACACAACCATTATAACTTAACAACTATTTCCAGCTAATATCAACTTAATTATTACATGTGTTCATACTTGTGACTTGTGACATACATAAAAGTAAAATGTAATGAACTGACCGATCTTTATTTTATTTTAATACAGTTAAATAAGTTCAGTCATGGTGGAGATGTATTGGCCTCCTCAATGGGTAATTTACTTGTCTTTGTATTTGTTTTCGGATCAGTCATATTTTAAGTGAACGGTATCTACGTAAAAAATAGTCTACATAAAATTAGAATAATAACATTAGAAAAATAAATAAATACCAGGACCAGTGTTCTTTGTAAAACAAATCCTGTGTAAACTACACATTGTATTCACCAGTAGTTTCATGCTTGTATTCCTGCAATTGTGATTTTAACAATGTCATAGAAACAAATATGCCATTAAAAAGTTTGTCAGGTTTGACTGTATGTTGATATTCTCTTTTAGGTGTGAATATCTTAATTTGGCATAAAAATGTAGACATAGAACGCAAACAACAAGCAATGATGGAAGAAATGCGACTAAGTGGCGTAAAACCAAATGAAGTAACAGAAAGCCAAAACAGAAGACGACCACAACAAAGGTCCACCAGAATAGATGCTGCAATGAAATCTAAGATTGCTGCCAAACTAAGAAAACAATGAAATGAATGTCTTCGATGTTGAGATCTGTGGTGGGCTCGAAAATCATCATTCATATGTCTAAATGTCAATGAATTGTATGGTTGTTTTGTACGTTAGATGTTAACAGGTTCCAATGCAGTGACGCTTTGTGTGAATGATGTCATAGATCTACATTTTGTAAAATAGCACTTTTGATGTATGATTTGTAATAATTCATATTTATACTTTAAAAGTATTAATACACATTTCATTACCAGCAAATATATACAAACAAATAAGCGTTTATCGATAACGGTTCTTCTTCAGATCAATAATTTTGATTATATAAAACTTGTCATTTGAGGTAAGCCTTTTAATCCTGCAAATCCTTTTTAAAGGTTTCGTAGACTATAAATGTCATTTTAATTTACTTGGATGATATAGAATATATAGTGATGTACCTTCAAAATACCCAACTGGTGACATTCGTGTTTCGAAAAGTTGTATTGTCGACAAGATTTTGTTTAAAGCTTTTAATTAGCTACGGGAATCGGAAGATATTCGCCTTGCCTATAGTCATTAAGAAGTTCAATAACTTCTGTTATAATCGAGTTTATAGCATCTTGTAATGTCATCATGTCATCGAATTGCGCTAATGATCTTTGCTCGACGATCACACATTTTCAATTAAGACTAGTCAAAGATGCACATCAGACTTTTTATATGTTTTCTGAATAGCTATCAGGCACCTCGCATTTGAATTCATAACACGGATATTTTTATACATGGCAAACGCTAGTACAAATTATGTTGTACGTCTAATAGGAGATTAGAAACTGCAAAATCCGTCAAAAACTTCAATACCTCAAAACGGTTGTCAAGGAGATATTAGCGCCGCCATTTTAAAGCTTTGAATAACACATATGTAAATTAAAAAGTAGAATTATGGCTACAATAACCGAGGTTCGGCATATGCCAACGTTTCGACTAATTTCTGTAGACATTCTGCTTCGTATTAATAACGAAATAAACCTGCAATAAATTTGTTCTCTAGAAAGCCGACACTTTGTGAAATATATCAATATAGTTTTTTAATAAAAAAGATTTATTATACTGACAAGGTTATTTTAGTGAGAAAATGTTTTTCATTAGTCATATTCTACACACCAGAAACACTTTGATTAAAAATGATTGATAGATAATCATCCAACTTTAATTTACCAAGGGGTATATTAAAAAATAAAGTAAAACAGTCAAACTGCTAATTGATGAAAGTGATCTTGAATTCAATTTTAACAATAACCACTTTTGATTCGTACCATATTGGAAAAGTTTACATCAAAGTATTTTTGCAGTTCATTTTTGATAGTAGACAAATAAAAAATAATATTTCAGACAACTACTTGGTTGAACATTTAAACAATCCATCAATAAATCTAGCTTTGTCTGGTATTTTATTTATGAGCGTATGGTATTGATGCATGAATTATGTATATGGACTTGACAGCATACTTCACTTCGGATAGCCTTCACTCACAAGGTATCAAGCTCTACGCCCATCGTTTAGCCAGCTGTCTGACATTATGAATTTAAAAACGGGGCTGTTGATATAGTAGGGGTTCATATAATATAATCATAATAGTATCATGTGCAAATAGTTTTCAGATCATAATTGCATATAGAGGGAGAGTAGTCACAAGCATTTGAAGTTCATTGTTTGTATACAGCAAAATACTTAAGGCAAGAGTTTACATGTACATTTTTAAGACACGATGGTAACGGACTGTTTGCAAAACACAATGGATTAGCAGTCCATTGCCTTAACCACTCGGCCACCTCGTCTACGTACATGCGACCATATCATAATGAATTTATCACGACTAGGTCTTAAACCAGAAGTCAAAATTACCTGTGTACATGGAAGTGGTGAATTCACTACGTTCAATACCCACCATAGACTCCAGTCAGTCACAATGACTATTTTGAACTGTAGGCATTAATCAGCGATTCTGCAAATGACGGAGAGACAGAATCTAGGTCAGGGGAAGCCCCATGACCCCAAGATTCTTTGCCCTTACGTCACGAACCACGTGACCGAGGCCATATCGCGGCGCCATTACGGCTGGCTAACCACTCTGATTTTGTCTCCGCCTCGAATGGAGATGAAATCTATCGAGCTCTGCCTGGATCGCTTGCTTTTTCCTGTCCGGGTTTCTAGCTTGAGTTATTGCCGTTGGGCGGCATGCGACATTGTAGCTGGTAGAATAAGTTTTCCTTGTCATTTTTACCCTCGTGTCGTTTTCCCCTTTGTGTGCAGCATTTTTCACAACAATGAAATAAAACCCGGGCATCGTAGCTTAATCACTTCTTGACTGCGTTACGTCACCTTTTACTACTGTAATTCGCTTCCTCCATGCATGTCGTCTTTTTTATGCTTGATCTACGTATTTAGAAATGAATAGATGTATGGTCAGCACCATGACTCACTGCCGTTTTTTGGTCTCTTCGTTTTCGAGTCGACTGTGCAGTTGTTATATTCAGAATTTACCAGCATAGAACCTGCATCCGATATGCTGTTTGCCATGGCTGCGTGTGAGGTTTGAGGTCTTTGCCTTGAAGGCGTGTGTTTTTCACTGGAGTTCTGAGGCCTGAGAATTTTTTTCAGAGCCATCAAAATCGCTGAGACTGACTGCGTCGCTCGTATTTTCACAGCAAGGTCACGCGTTCAGTAAAAATCGATTAAAGTGAGTTGCGTATTTGGCATGATTAGAAAGTCCTCACGCTCGGCTACCGGTGCTTCGGTGCTTCAGGCGGTGGTTTATCCGATTTTACCAGCTACAGCAAGGCTGTGCCCCTAGAGGTTTTTTCCTCCTATGGAGCCTGTTGTGGGTCCCTTTGTCGAAGGGCTTTGGTCGAAAGACTGTCGGGGCAAATTTGCATTCCTGGCAGGCCGGGTAGATCAGACACAGTCGGAGCGAGCTGTCTCCACTGCAGCCCACGGGTGGGCAAGCAGGAAGTAACACGAAAGCATCATTTGCATTCAAACATGTCTCTTCCAGGGAACCCCCGTTCCCAGTCGCGGCTCTCCCACTAATTTGGGTGAGGCAGAGGCTCAGGCTAATTGCACTGGGTCTCCTCTGGAGCCTCAGGCACTGAATGCCAATGAGGTGCTGGCAGCCAAGCCTCTGATCTCGGGCAGGGCTTTTAGGGCAGGGCACACGTTGTACCCACCTACTTTCTGCCAGCCAGGGTTTTACACCCGGTATTGGTACAATGGTAACGAATTTACCCTTGTGTCCAGTCTCCTCTGTGGGTTTTGACTCCCTTCTTACCGACCCATGGGCATCCCCAGAGGGAACCGACCCTGTCATGATATGCACAGTCAAACACGCTCTCTCTCACATATTTAAAGTGAAAAGGAGACACAGTTTGCTCGTGTCGAATACAGCTGGTACCTCGGGCGGTCCCTCAGAGACTTCCATCCGTAACGACTCAGTGAGCCACGCATTTGGGGGTGATACAGTGTTTCAACGATCCTAGTTATGCGATGTAAATACTCCCACCCTTGATCCTAAGGCGACCACTTACGGTTGCTTCAATGCTTATGGGATCACTGATGTTGGGATCCAAAGTAACCCCGTCGGCATGTCTCTCCCTGTCCGTCCAAGTGCGGAGTGGGATATGCAAGGGCATGCAAACCATGTTGATGGGCAGACGTTGGACAGCTGTGGAGGAGGTAATGTTTAAGGCCCCCGGGTGGGGTAAAATATTATGCAACATTTTCGGCTGGACCAAATGCTACCCGGTCGGTGTGGTTTCGGGATGAAACCAAAATCCCCCCCCCCCCAACTGGATCCCAAATTCCGTTTGGCAAACCGGGTAAAGGGGACAGCCACGTTCCATGGGCCAGCTCAATCTGAGATGATCCATCATGCCTGAGGACATAGTTGCTTGAGCGCATTATCAAGCGCACACAGAACTATGAGATCTCGGAGGCAGAACAGACCAGCCTCCTAGACCAGGCGACACATTTACTGGTGGGCCACTGCATATCTACGTGCGACATCTCCTAGTGTCACCTTGGTCTCTTGCCAGGGCCACTACTGTGCAATGAGACACGGCCTTAGACGGCAAGATGAGTCCTCAGTGACACAGACTGGACATCTTCCACCCTCTTTGTTCAGGGAATGGTGGGTACAGTCTCGGAGCTTCGGAGTGCAATGAACCAGAGGGTTCAGATCAAATCCCCTAGCCAGTTGGCTCTGCCAAGGGTAAGCGGAGGGCACTCCAGGCACAGAAAACACAACGCCCTAGGGCATTGTCTGCTAGCCAGAGTCAGCCAGGAGACAAGCGCTCATACCCTACCACGGAAGGGAAGAGTAGTGGCACGCCCTCAGGGAGGAAAAAGCCAGGTGGTGGCACCTCACACACCTCGGGTGGTCATCTACCCCGGCAGTGGGGGAAGCGTGTTAGATGCTTAACTCTGCAACCGGGGGGACAGGCATGTGTTCGGCGAGTGGTCAGGTCACAACTTAGTGACTACTTCAGGCCTTGGGGAAACTCACCTCATAGGAGAAGAGAGCGCCCACCCCTCGCAACTGCTAAACCCATGGCCACATATCCCTGTCGTACACAGATTGCACCAGTGTAGTCTGGCTTAGAGACAGAGGGTGACCGATCCCAGGACCTTTCCAGATGGTGACATCCTGTTACGGGATACCGCTGAAATCTCAATCTCCCCCATCAGTGTCTCCCCTATTGGACACTGCCAGGGAACTCCCGCAAGGTGGAAGCAATCAGGCAGGAAATAGCAGTTTGCTGGAAAAGGGCGCCGTACACAGGGTAGATAGCCGATACTAAGTCCAGGCTTCTCCCAAATGTGTTTGTAGTACCAAATCTAAAGGTGGCGGGCGTCCAGTTCTGGACCTAGGCAGACTGAATCAGTACGTGCTACTCGATCGGTTCAACATGGAGACGCCATTCAGGGTTCTTCTCTCCATCCACCGTTTCGACTGGATAGCTCACTGGACGCGATTTCTAGA